ATCATGGTAATAGGACTGAGTGGAGTACAATTCATAATCATGGTAATAGGACTGAGTGGAGTACAATTCATAATCATGGTAATAGGACTGAGTGGAGTACAATTCATAATCATGGTAATAGGACTGAGTGGAGTACAATTCATAATCATGGTAATAGGACCGAGTGGAGTACAATTCATAATCATGGTAATAGGACTGAGTGGAGTACAATTCATAATCATGGTAATAGGGCTAAGTGGAGAATAATTCATAATCATGGTAATAGGACTGAGTGGAGTACAATTCATAATCATGGTAATAGGACTGAGTGGAGTACAATTCATAATCATGGTAATAGGACTGAGTGGAGTACAATTCATAATCATGGTAATAGGACTGAGTGGAGTACAATTCATAATCATAATCATGGTAATAGGACTGAGTGGAGTACAATTCATAATCATGGTAATAGGACCGAGTGGAGTACAATTCATAATCATGGTAGTAGGACTGAGTGGAGTACAATTCATAATCATGGTAATAGGACCGAGTGGAGTACAATTCATAATCATCGTAGTAGGACTGAGTGGAGTACAATTCATAATCATGGTAATAGGACTGAGTGGAGTACAATTCATAATCATGGTAATAGGACTGAGTGGAGTACAATTCATAATCATGGTAATAGGACTGAGTGGAGTACAATTCATAATCATGGTAATAGGACTGAGTGGAGTACAATTCATAATCATGGTAATAGGACTGAGTGGAGTACAATTCATAATCATGGTAATAGGACTGAGTGGAGTACAATTCATAATCATGGAAATAGGACTGAGTGGAGTACAATTCATAATCATGGTAATAGGACCGAGTGGAGTACAATTCATAATCATGGTAGTAGGACTGAGTGGAGTACAATTCATAATCATGGTAATAGGACCGAGTGGAGTACAATTCATAATCATGGTAGTAGGACTGAGTGGAGTACAATTCATAATCATGGTAATAGGACTGAGTAGAGTACAATTCATAATCATGGTAGTAGGACTGAGTGGAGTACAATTCATAATCATGGTAATAGGACTGAGTGGAGTACAATTCATAATCATGGTAATAGGACTGAGTGGAGTACAATTCATAATCATGGTAATAGGACTGAGTGGAGTACAATTCATAATCATGGAAATAGGACTGAGTGGAGTACAATTCATAATCATGGTAATAGGACTGAGTAGAGTACAATTCATAATCATGGTAGTAGGACTGAGTGGAGTACAATTCATAATCATGGTAATAGGACTGAGTGGAGTACAATTCATAATCATGGTAGTAGGACTGAGTGGAGTACAATTCATAATCATGGTAATAGGACTGAGTGAGTACAATTCATAATCATGGTACAATTCATAGTAGGACTGAGTGGAGTACAATTCATAATGGAAATAGGACTGAGTGGAGTACAATTCATTGTGGAAATAGGACTGAGTGGAGTACAATTCATAATCATGGTAATAGGACTGAGTGGAGTACAATTCATAGTGGAAATAGGACTGAGTGGAGTACAATTCATAGTGGAAATAGGACTGAGTGGAGTACAATTCATAGTGGAAATAGGACTGAGTGGAGTACAATTCATAGTGGAAATAGGACTGAGTGGAGTACAATTCATAGTGGAAATAGGACTGAGTGGAGTACAATTCATAGTGGAAATAGGACTGAGTGGAGTACAATTCATAGTGGAAATAGGACTGAGTGGAGTACAATTCATAGTGGAAATAGGACTGAGTGGAGTACAATTCATAGTGGAAATAGGACTGAGTGGAGTACAATTCATAGTGGAAATAGGACTGAGTGGAGTACAATTCATAGTGGAAATAGGACTGAGTGGAGTACAATTCATAGTGGAAATAGGACTGAGTGGAGTACAATTCATAGTGGAAATAGGACTGAGTGGAGTACAATTCATAGTGGAAATAGGACTGAGTGGAGTACAATTCATAGTGGAAATAGGACTGAGTGGAGTACAATTCATAGTGGAAATAGGACTGAGTGGAGTACAATTCATAGTGGAAATAGGACTGAGTGGAGTACAATTCATAGTGGAAATAGGACTGAGTGGAGTACAATTCATAGTGGAAATAGGACTGAGTGGAGTACAATTCATAGTGGAAATAGGACTGAGTGGAGAACAATTCATAGTGGAAATAGGACTGAGTGGAGTACAATTCATAGTGGAAATAGGACTGAGTGGAGTACAATTCATAGTGGAAATAGGACTGAGTGGAATACAATTCATAGTGGAAATAGGACTGAGTGGAGTACAATTCATAATCATGGTAGTAGGACTGAGTGGGGTACAATTGATAATAGTAACAGAGCTCAGTGGAGTACAATTGATAATAGTTATAGGACTGAGTGGGGTACAATTGATAATAGTAATAGGACTCAGTGGAGTACAATTCATGATGGTAATAGGACTGAGTGGCGTACAGACTCCTAAAACCAAAGGATTCTCTTACTTTTCTCCTACAGGGCCGACGTACTTCCAACAGGTCTTATTTTATGCTGTACTCCGATGTAAAGATTAGTCACTATAGCACCAAAATAACTCATAACATCAGGGGGTAGTTCTATCAAGACTCGAAGAGCTGTCTTCTGTATTGACTGTACACGATACAAGGGGGTCAGTGGTTTGAAAAATATCTCACAGAAACGTATCTAAACAAACGCAGCAAGACTTCATCTCTATGATTTCCTTTTTGAAACATAGCGGAGTAGGGGGAGGGGGCTGGGACGTGTGGGTTGGGTTAGGAATGAGAATTCCTCACTACACTGAAAGTCATAGTTCAGGTATTATCTTACCGAGTAATGAGCGTGATGTTAAACGCCCTTAGAAATAGTAAAAGGAGGAAAAAAGAAGGACACCTTATCAAGAAAACATGACATGGTAAAACTTTTTTTGGTGCATGTAATCGCTTATTTATATCTCAAGTTTTTATGTCAAAATTAACGTGATTTACATCAGATGAACGGATGAAAAGTTCGTTTGGTTCCCATAATACGCGTTGATCGTTTGACGCTATAACTGTTGATACTAGGATTGCTATTTTGATACTGGAATTGATATCTGAAGCTAGAATATTGATCACCAGAACTTCATCACCAGAACTTGTTTGATTATAAGACAAATATCAAGTAACATGGGTTGAGGTAAGACGATCAAAGAAATGCACTGATAAGCATAGAGAAACAAAACAACCTTCTTGCGATCATGGCGTTTAATTATGTTTTCTGCGCAAGAAAGCCTAAGTAGTTCGCATGCCGCTCATAACTCATGCCGCCTTAACAATGAACAACAGTGCTATCCGTTTTACTCTGTAACTTGGTTAAAACCAACGTTCACGATATTTTCTAAGATTTCTCTCCAGCTGTCTTTTATTTTAGCATCTTTGAAATTACTACATAATCTAAAACCAAAGAAAGTTTCCCAAATTAGGGGAGTGTATAAAAGTGTGGTAAAAACTAGAATATTTTTATTCCCAAACAACATTCTGACAATAACCTGACTTGAAAACGATTAAAACACTAAACAAACATACATCATCTCAAACACTACAACTCGTAAGTAACCTATTGAACCAGTTTCAAAATATTACTGCCGTCATTTTTCCACTCGATACTAATAAAGGTCATGACCTTGATAGCTTTATCCATGTTTCTATTTAGTAATCCATGTATTTTAAGCTCTCAGAAGTAGTACTGAAACTGACCAAAAGAAAAGCTTTCCGTAAGGATACTACATAAACAATTTAAGATTCTGTTAACGAAACCTCTAACAAATTAAAGGCTTTGTGAGAAAACGCTGTAAGACTGAGCTGGCTCGTTTTCGATGCTTCAACAACTGTTTTAACTTTCCTGATTTCACTTCACTCAAGAGCCCTAAGTCAATAATTTTTCGTGCTTATTATATCTGCCGGATATGATAACTTTCGTGCAAAAAAACATTCTCGAATACATAACCAATACCTCCTTCTGAGAGGATCGAAAAGAGAACGCAAAAAGTTTAACTTAACTGAAAATTGCCCTTTCTTTAATTACACGATGTAATAACAGATAAAGGATTTTCTCTACTTATTCTATTTTTTCATCCACCTAAAAGTCTTTAAGGTCTGTTTCCTTCGAGATATTCTCGCCTTCTTTCCTGTAACAAACGTAAAAAAAAACCAATTGTAAATAACTTAATCAAAATTTCTTAAATAAAGCAAATACAGTTATAGACGCAATACGTCAGCAAATGTATGCTTGTATCTGATTGGCAGAGAGGCGCTTTCGAGATTTTACACCTAATTGGGAGAATAAATTGTTACTCTTTGAAAGAAACAAAACAAAAAAAAAGGTATAAAACTAGCCTTGATATTCAAGGTGATAAAGGATTCCCGTTGACAGTCAGCGACTAGTAAGTCATAGCACCTTCACATCTAACTTAACTTTAATTTATGAAACACCTATTCTTACCGAGTCTTACCTTTGCTTTTCAAACTCGAGCCTCACATCATCTCCAATCAGCGTAAACGAAGCCCAATCAGACACTTTGGTATAGCGGTTTTTTCTCATCCACCTCATGGCCCGATGAAGGGATTCACTGGCACTTTCTCCTTCAACAAGATGTTCGTAAAACCTACTCATTAGCTGCTCTGTTGCTAAGTCCGGAATGGCCCACAGCGCAACCAACACCGAGCGAGCACCGGATCCTAAGAAAGCACGGGCAATTCCTATAACTCCCTCGGCTCTTACCTCTCCACTTCCACTGTGACAGCAGCTAAGTACCACTAGTTTAGCTCTGACTTTCACTCGTGAGACATCAGCCATCGTCAACATGTAAGCTTCCTGTGGTGGGATAGCATTTTGACTGTTGGGAATAGGGATGTTGTTCTCTGTGTTCTCAGTTCTCATAACGAGAGATTTTTGAAGATACTCGTTAGCCTTATCGTATTGTCCGAGCAACTCAAACACAGTACCTAGGTTTCCATAACATGATGCTTCTCCATTTCTGTCGCCAATTTCAGTTGTTATGACAAGCGCTTTTTGGAGATACTCTTTAGCCTCGTCGTACTGTCCGAGCAACCGCAACACATTACCTAGGTTTATATAACATGATGCTTCTCCATTTCTGTCGCCAATCTCATTTGTGATGAGAAGCGCTTTTTGCGTATACTCTCTAGCCTCGTCGTACTGCCCGAGAAACTCAAACACAGCACCCAGTAATATAAAGCATGATGATTCTCCTTTTCTGTCACCAATTTCGGTTTTGATGTCAAGCGCTTTTTGGAGATACTCTTTAGCCTTTTCGTACTGCCCCAGAGACTTAAACACAGAACCTAGGTTTGCGTAGGTATCTGCCTCTCCTTTTCTGTAGCCAATTTCAGTTATGATGCCAAGCGCTTTTTTAAGATACTCTTTAGCCTTCTCGTACTGCCCAAGAGACCCAAACACAGCACCTAGGTTTGCATAACATAATGCTTCTCCTCTTCTGTCGCCAATGTCAATTCTGATGTCAAGTGCTTTTTGGAGATACTCTTTAGCCTTGTCGCATTGCCCGAGCGACTCAAACACAGCTCCTAGGTTTCCGTAGTCAGCAGCCTTTCCTTCTCTGTCGCTAATCTCAGTTCTAATGACAAGCGATTTTTGGAGATACTCTTTCGCTTTGTCGTACTGCCCGAGCGAGTGAAACACAGTACCTAGGTTTTCATAACATAATGCTTCTCCTCTTCTGTCGCCAATGTCAATTCTGATGTCAAGTGCTTTTTGGAGATACTCTTTAGCCTTGTCGCATTGCCCGAGCGACTCAAACACAGCTCCTAGGTTTCCATAGTCAGCAGCCTTTCCTTCTCTGTCGCCAATCTCAGTTCTGATGACAAGCGATTTTTGGAAATACTCTTTAGTCTTGTTGTATTGCCCGAGCGACGCAAACACAATACCCAAGCTTCCATAACATGATGCTTCTCCTCCTCTGTCGCCAATTTCAGTGTTGATAACAAGCGCCCTTTCGACATACTCTTTAGCCTTGTTGTATTTCCCGAAAAACTCAAAAACAGTACCCAGTTTTCTAAAACATGATGATTCTCCTTTTCTGTCGCCAATTTCAGTGTTTATGTCAAGCGCTTTTTGGAGATACTCTTTAGCCTTGTCGTATTGTGCGAGAGACCCAAACACATTACTAAGGTTTTCGTAGATAGCTGCTTCTCCTTTTCTGTCGCCAATTTCAGTTATGATGACAAGCGCCTTTTGGAAATATTCTTTGGCCTCATCGTATTGCCAGAGTGAGTCAAACATGCCACCTAGCTTTACGTAGTCAGCTGCTTCTCCTTTTCTATCACCAATCTCATTTCTGATGGCAAGGGCTTTCTGGAGATGCTCTTTAGCCTTGTTGTACTGCCCTAAAGACTTAAACACAGTACCTAGGTTTCCATGACATGTTGCTTCTCCTTTTCTGTCGCCAATCTCAGTTCTGATGACAAGCGCTTTTTGGAGATAATCTTTAGCCTTATCGCATTGCCCGAGCGACTGAAACACCATACCTAGGTTTCCATAACATAATGCTTCTCCATTTCTGTCGCCAATCTCAGTTCTGATGATAAGCGCTTTTTGGATATACTCTTCAGCCTTGTCGTACTGCCCTAGAGACTCAAACATAGTACCTAGCCTTCCATAACATGATGCTTCTCCTTTTACGTCACCAATTTCAGTTGTGATGAGAAGTGCTTTTTGGAGATACTCTATAGCCTTGTCGTATTGTCCGAGCGACCAAAACTCAGTACTTAAGTTTCCGTAGTCAGCAGCCTCTCCTTCTTTGTCGCCAATCTCAGTTCTGATACCAAGTGCTTTTTGGAGATACTCTTCAGCCTTGTCGTATTGCCCTAAAGATTCAAACACAGTAATAACATGATGCTTCTCCTTTTCTATCACCAATCTCAGCTCTGATGACAAGGGCTTTCTGGAGATGCTCTTTAGCCTTCTTGTACTGCCCTAAAGACTTGAACACAGTACTTAGGTTTCCATGACATGATGCTTCTCCTTCTCTGTCACCAATCTCAGTTCTGATGACAAGGGCTTTTTGGAGATACTCTTTAGCCTTGTCGTGTTGTCCGAGAGACCCAAACACATTACCTAGGTTTCTGTAGGTAGCTGTTTCACCTTTCCTGTCGCCAATTTCAGTTTGGATGACAAGCGCTTTTTGGAAATATTCTTTAGCCTTTCCGTATTGCCCGAGTGAGTCAAACACAGTACCTAGGTTTCCGTAGTCAGCAGCCTCTCCTTCTCTGTCGCCAATCTCAGTTCTGATGACAAGCGCTCTATGAAGATATTCTTTAGCCTTTTCATTTTGCCCGAGCGATTGAAGCAACACCCCTTGGTTTCCATAGCATATTGCTTCTCCTTTTTTATCACCAATCTCAGCTGTGATGATAAGCGCTTTTTGGAGACACTCTTCAGCCTTGTCGTATTGCCCGAGCGACCCAAACACAGAGCCTAGGCTTCCGTAGTCAGCTGCCTCTCCTTTTCTATCACCAATCTCAGTACTGATGATAAGTGCTTTTTGGAAACACTCTTCAGCCTTGTCGTATTGCCCGAGCGACCAAAACACAGAGCCTAGGCTTCCGTAGTCAGCTGCCTCTCCTTTTCTATCACCAATCTCAGTGCTGATGATAAGTGCTTTTTGGAGATGTTCTTTAGCCTTTCCGTATTGCCCAAGAGATGCAAACAAGTTACCTAGGCTTCCGTAGACAGCTGCTTCTCCTTTTCTGTCGCCAATCTCAGTTCTGATGACAAGCGCTTTTTGGAGATACTCTTTAGCCTTGTCGTATTGCCCTAAAGACTCGAACACAGTACTTAGGTGTCCATAACATGATGCTTCTCCGTCTACGTCACCAATTTCAGTTGTGATGAAAAGCGCTTTTTGGAGATATTCTATAGCCTTTCCGTTTTGCCCGAGAGACGAAAACAGGTTACCTAGGTGTCCGTAGTCAAATGCTTCTCCTTCTCTGTCGCCAATCTCAGCTCTGATGACAAGCGCTTTTTGGAGATACTTTTTAGCCTTGTCACATTCCCCGTGAAACCGAAGCAACGCTCCTAGGGTACAGTAACAGGATGCTTCTCCTCTCCTGTCCCCAATTTCGTTTTTTATGGCAAGGGCTCTCTCAACATACTCCGTTGCCTTTAGGTTTTCGCCAAGTTTATAAAACATAATTCCCAGTGTTTCGCAGGCGCTTGCTTCTCCAATTTTCTCACCGGTTTGTCTCTTTATATTAATTGCTTTTTCGTAAAGTTGTTTGGCCTCTGTAAACCTGTTTTGACTCTCAAAAATCTCTGCTAGAGCTATGCTTACATCTCCTTCTTTTACTAAGTCACCAGACTCGCTGTATAAGACAAGCAGTTTTCTGCCGTATCTTTCTGCATTTATGTAGTCAGAGATACGACGATATGCGCTAAAAAGAACGTTACAGATGGCACTGTAAAGTAGTAGCAGTTGTGAATTAAATCGGTCTTTGCTGTTTTGATCGATGTCATTTAGCAAAATCAAACATTCGCTGCATATCTCAATGGCTTTCTGAATGCGATCTGAGTTTAGCAGGAACAGGGAAACCAGAAAGGCGATATTCATAAAAGCTATCATGGCTTCTGCCGTTAGGTTTCCATTGCCATCCTCTCCTGTCATAAGAGAAAAATTTTTATTAGCAACGCCAGTTAACCAAATGATTCGATAATCTGGATTCAGAATGAGTTTCCACAGGAACCCAGATGTGAAGTTACAAAAACGGGCTGGGTCGGTTACACCTGGAAAGTTTTTGTAACGAGCAGAAAGTGTTAGAATTCACAATATTGACTTAAAACAAAAAATAAGTAAAGAGGAGGCGTGGATAAGTACAACTGGAGCTCATCAGCAGATCACATTCGGTCATATTAATTAAACCTCAGTTTTTTCGAAAACGATTTCACCTAGAAACTTTTTTTTAACGAGCTAAAAGTGTTAGAATTCACAATATTGACCTCAAACAAAAAATAAGTGACGAAGAGGCGTGGATAAGTTCAACTGGAGCACATCAACGGATCACATTTGGTGAAACTTGTAAACTTTATTTGACCTCCACAGCTTTTTTTTGAAAACGGACTATGGACTGTCACGCTGTGAACGACAACCGTTATCCAGGTGATTTTTGATCTAGTTGTTTCGTTTGTTCATCGTATTAAGTGAAAAAATGACGCGCGCTTGAGTTTGACTAATGATCGCGTGTCGGGGGGGTCGCGCCATCAATTAGGGGGTTTTGAAAGATCGCGGGTTTCTTAAAAGGACATGAAGGATTGATAAACCTATTACCACAACGTTCTGGAAACATTTGAAAATGTTGTTCTAGCGGTTTATCACCAACTTTAATGAGCTTACTTATCTGAAGTATATGGCTGAAATGTTTACGTGCGTTCGAGCGGAGTGGATGTGTCTTTCTTTCTTCAGTTTATAACTCAAACCAAACAAGATGAATGGAAAGGATAGTCAACTTGGAAAGGAAAATCAGCAATTAGGAAACAAAGTTCCTAAACTGAAGAAACATTTGGAAAAGTTAAGTGTGGAAATTGGTAATCATAGGGCGATTCATCGCTAAACAGCAAGGCCAAATTCAAATCGTCCGGAATCGGTGCTACGAACCTAAACAACTACGATCACCTAACACCGTACCACGCTTGCAGAATCTCCTGTTTCAAGCAAAGAAGTTGTAATTTAAATTTAAAATTTAGAATTTAAAATAATTTCAAGTTTTGCTGGGCAAAGCACTGGTTTGTTAACCTCAGAGAATCGGAAGCATCTCCCATCCGTAAATTTAGCAATATAGAGGAGCTAAACGCATTTGTACAAGGATGTGACAGCTAAGTATCGGTAAAAGTTTTAGTGTATTATTTGTGGCTTGATCTCCCTCTCTAAATGTAAACTTGCATCAGAAGGTGCAAAATGCGTGAATGAAATTCAGAAGTCTTTCGTAAAGAACTTCCATATTTTGACTCGACAGGTAGTTTACCTTTTTATCGTAGAAAATTTAACAACTTATATTAAAGTGAGCTTCCACCAAACAGAAGTCTAGAAAGTTTAACTGGTTTTTACGATCTTGACTCATTCAAATCTAACACAAGTCTTGATTCCAGGTTTAATGCTAACAATAATTTGTTCAATCATAAAATTTATGGTCGATTCTTCTCTCCGCATAATTTCAAAATTACAGCAATAGTTTAACAAAGAAGCAATTGGAATCTAGTTCAATTTTTCATAATAATATTTTAATTCTAAACAAAAATATTGAAAAACTTGTAAAACACTATTTAGAGAATATAGATCTCCACTTCGATATTATTGGGATTACTGCAACGAAAATGACCAACACAAATCAAAATTTTGCTTCCAAAATTCCATGTTACGCTTTTGAACACGTGCCCACACGTCTAGCCTCTGGAGGTGTTGGGCTCTTCATTGATGGAAACCTTAAATACACAGTGCTTGAAAAGGAGTCGCATGGAGCCTTTCAGGCTCCTATTTCTTTTAACAAACAGAAGAATGTCATATGCGGCATCCTTAATTGCCAACACAATTCTCCAGATTGTTTTAGTGGATATGTTAGTGATACAACCCAAAAGGTAGTTTCCACAGGAAAATCAATCTATTTAATGAGCGACTTTAATGTATGACTGTTGAAGACAGAGAAATTTCAATACGACTAGGACTTCTTATTCGCCTTACTTAGCAGTTATCTCCTCCCAACGATTGGCAAACCAACACGCATGCACGGAATGTCAGCCTCTCCTATTGATGATATTTTTGTCAATAATCCCGACCAAGTTTTAATTAGTGGAAATATCATCGCTGACGTTTCTGATCATTTCTCCCAGTTTTGCATTTTGATTTCAGGAAGAAAGAAAGTTGCCAACAAAACAACAGAGAAACGCGACTTCTCAGACTTCTCAGTTCGGTTTAGTAATGATCTGTCAATAGCCGACTGGGATAATATTATAGTATCAAAAGCAAATGGCAATGACGACCAATTTTAAACTTTTTGTAGGCAATTAATTAAAGTCGTGCGAAAACATGCGCCTTTAAAAATTGTATCAAGAGGTGAAATTAAACAACTCGTAAAACCATGGATAACAAAGGGAATGAGAACTTCAATTAAAATAAAAAATAGGTTTTATAAAATAATTCAAATAGTACGCGCGCTCTGATTGGCCATAAAACCATTTTACATGAGCGTATGTAAACACGGTTTTCGTTCCTCTTTCATTAGTTACGCTTCGCGTCGTGGTTTCCTGCGCTTATCTCGTGTTCTCCCAACCTCCCGCGTGTTTACATCAGGCTATGTAAACACGGAAACCATTTTACATTTCTTCAATATAAAACTGAAAATTGTAGCGAATATAAATCTTACAGAAATATAATCATCATTCTTACGCGTTCAAGCAAAAAGCAATATTACTTTGATTTTTTTAATTAAAACGTAAAGAACATGAAAAAAAAATGGTAAGGAACAATGAATTATTAAACAACCGTAACAAATATCATAACACGATAACGACATTAAAAGACCCAAATAACAACAATCAAGTTACTGATACCAAATATTCTAATTGAACATTTCGCAAGTGTTGGTACCAAACTAACAAGTAAACTACCCATGAAAAGCAATTATATGGAATATCTAAAGAGATTAAAATTAACTGACTCCTTCCTTTTAAAAAAGAAATTCTATCACTACCAAGCAAAAAAAATCATAAGGTTTAAACCCTTGTCGTACCCAACTTCTTAGATTTTTTCCTGTCGTATCGAACATTTTCAATACTTCTATTACGTCTGATGTCCACACTTCAAAACTTAAGATCTCCAAAGTCACATCTATCTTTAAAAATGAAGACGAGACTGATGCTTCCAATTACCGACCAGCTTGTCTCTTGTCAAATTTCAATGGAATATTTGAAAAGCTATTGTATCACGGAATGAAGGACTTTATCGACAAAAACGAATTAAGAGTCTGTTCACGTGAGGACCAGGTAGGCGTGGAAAATGTCATCTCACCGATTTCTCTCAAACTTCTGGCTAATCCCTAGGGTTTTAGAGCCCCCACCTCAAATCTCTGGGATAAAAGGCTAAAATTAGTTCGAAAATGCAATTCCGATGTATCTCTGTCTCACCAACATATTGCGATGGATTTTAATCTTATTATGCGCAATGGATGTTTGAACCTTAAGGAAACAATTCTTTAAAGTAGAGGTGATATAACCTCTGCCAATTTAGGGCAGTTAATCATTAACTGTGTCTCGAAATTATTCCAAAAAAGGGAAAATTATGGTTTTTTAACTGCAAATATCTCCGATGGGTAATATTGTATGTCTATAGACATACCATCACAGGAAAAAAAACCATCTTAATACTACCTTCTTAGGGAAAATGTTTAGGCCTCTGTAAAAAATTCGTCATCACGTCCTTGTGAAATACGTGACCTCTGACGTTAATGTATGCAATTTTTTGGTTATAAACTGATGTTTATTCACTCAATTTAAATTTGAGAATGGGATCGCCGACGCTAGTTTTGTGGTACTTATGTCTAAATACAAAAGATGTATACATGCCGAGCTAAGGAGTCACTTATTATAGAAATTCTGTAACGCTGACACAATCTAATGGTAAAACGATTCATAAATGTATGTATATATCATACGTTGAACATTAAAGGACGTCGGTAGTTGACAGTGACGTTTGCCAAACGTAATTTACAGAAATGAAAATTGTAGTAGTAACTCATCAAACCGAAAAAAATTTGGACCTACGACCGTACGACCGACCGTAAAAGGTACTACTTTTAGCATGCGCGGCCAACTGTACCACGGGTACTATCTTAGCCATTACGTAATGGAAGGGCGAGTGAGAAAGTAATGCGCAGGCGCGATTGCGTGCGTAATTTGGATACTTGGAAACACCGGCAGACGACAATAAAGTGCGCATATTCGAGTGTCGAGCGTCAGTGTAGCGTACTGCGGGCACACGGTTAGGCATTGCACGGGGGCTTCACGTGGGCAAGTAGATGTGAAGCTGCGTAAGCAAATAATTTGCAACCCACGTTTTGAGCGGGAAATGAAATTGGTGAGGTTGAAGTTGAACAGTAATTCTCAGTATTTTGCCATTTCTAAGCAACTCGCAAAGCAACAATACCGGCAGAGCTAAAGCTTTGTCAACGGGAGGAAATTGTTATAATTCAAGTTTGTGGAGAGAGAGGGTTTTGAGTGAAAATGAGATGAAAAGAAAGAGACCGAGCGACCAAAAAAACAAGAAGTAAAAGACGTAAAGCGAGTCGAGAAACACGCGCAAGAAAGTTAGAGGGGACACCAAAATAGGCAGAATACGGCGAAAAAAATGCGAAAGAGAATAAAAAAGACTTAAGTATAAAGGCGAATATCTTGCGAGTAGCAACGCGAGAAGGAAATACAAAGACGCTCCTTGGTAGAGGGAGAATTTGCATAATGGCGGTAAGACGTGTGTTATGCTACTCTTCGATATTTTATCTTCTAATGAATGTGTCTTCTCAGCCTTCATTTGAGCGGGAAATCCTTTAACTCTGCTTCTAAAGGTATTGCGTATGACCTTACAACGTTGATTGGGACCAGGGATGTATCGACTC